GAAAAAGAAAATGGAACGAATCAACCTTCCCAACCTAAAACTCTACTACAAAGCAGTAATAATTAAAACAGCATGGTACTAGAACAAAGGCAGCGCCACAGACCAATGGAACAGAGTTGAATATAATGACATCTCCCCCCAAATAATGATCATCTAATCTTTGATAAGAGAGCAAGAAATGTGAAGTGGAGCAAAGAAAGCCTCTTTAACGAGAGGCTTTGTGCTGGCAAAACTGGACGACTATATGAAAAAATAATGGGCTCAGATCTCTACCTAACACCATGTACAAAAGTAAGATCAAATAGGATTAAGACCTCAACATCATACCAGAATCCATAAGGTACATTGAAGACAAGATTGGCAAAACCCTCCACAACATTGAAGCTAACGGTATCTTCAGAGATGACATGCCACTGGCCAAATAAGTGAAAACAGAGATAGATAAATGAGACTATCTTAAACTAAGAAGTTTCTGCACCTCAAAAGAAACAGTGACCAAAATACAAAGCCAGTCTATAGAATGGGAAAGGATATTTACCCAATACCCATCCGATAAGGGGTTGATAACAAGGATATACAAAGCACTGGTTGAACTCCACAAGAAGAAAACATCCAACCCCATCAAAAATGGGGTGACAAAATGGAAAGAAACTTTCTCAAAGAAGAAATCCGAACGGCAAAAAGGAACATGAGAAAATGCTCTACATCACTAATCATCAGGGAGATGCAGATCAAAACAACAATGAGATATCATCTCACACCACAGAGACTGGCCCACATCCAAAAGAACAAAAGCAACTGGTGTTGGCGCAGATGTGGCAAGAAAGGGACCCTTCCCCTTCACTGCTGGTGCGAATGCTGACTGGTTCAGCCCTTATGGAAAACAGTATGGATGATTCTCAAAAAATTGGAAATTGAGCTCCCATTTGACCCAGCAATACCACTCATGGGAATATATCGCAGAGAGGCAAAAAAGTACAGTCAAAATGACATCTGCACTTCTATGTTTATTGCTGCACTGTTCACAATAGCCAAAAACTGGAAAAAAATCCAAGTGCCCGAGAACAGATGTCTGGTTAAAGAAACTTTGGTACATCTACACAATGAAATACAATGCGACTGTTAGAAAAGATGACGTCATGAAATTTACATACAAGTGGTACTACATGGAAAGTATCATGCTAAGTGAAATGAGCCAGAAAGAGAGGGACAAACATAGAAAGACTGCACTCATCTGGGGAATATAAAGTAATAGAATGTGAGTCAAACACCCAAGAATAGTTGAGATATATACTAGGAGGTCTGCTCCAGGGCTTGGAAGCCAGCAGCACATGCTGGGGGAAAGGCAGCTCAGATAGAGAAGGGAACACTAAGTGAAGGATGTTTGGAGGACTCGCTCGGGATTTGAGATGCGTGCTGAAAGTACGCATAGATAGAACATTATGGCCACTCAATACCTCTATTGAAAACTACAAGATCCTGAAGGAAAGAGTGAGGAAAGAGTGAGCAAAAGGGAATGCCTTGCCACAGAGGCAGGGTGGGGTGGGGGAATGGGGAGTGGGGGGGTGGGAGGGCTACTAGGATCATTGGTGGTAGAGAATGGGAACTGGTGGAGGAATGGGTACTCGATCATTATATAATTGAAATCCAAGCACGAAAGTTTGTAAGTCTACATCTGTAGTACCTCATGGTGTTTCACTAATAGCACTGTAGTACTGTCCTCCCGTTGTTCATCGATTTTCTCGAGCGGGTCCAGTAACGTCTCCATTTTGAGACTTTGTTGTTACTGTGTTTGGCATATCGAATACGTCACCGGTAGCTTGCCAGGCTTTGCCGTGTGGGCGAGATACTCTCGGTAGCTTGCCAGGCTCTCTGAGAGGGGCGGAGGAATCAAACCCTGGCTCAGCTGGGCTGGCTGCATGCAAGGCAAACTCCCTACCATGTGCTATCACTCCAGCCCATATAAATAAATTTTATTAAAGTTTATTTTAAAATAAATACAGTAATTGTTGCTATATGAAACTACCTTTGTTATTTATCATGCTCACCCACTTCACTGAGAGCCAGGACCCTGCCTATCTAAATCATAGAAGTGTCCTTAGCACCCAGTAGGTGCTGTGGCCTCCAACAAGGATGTGTTAAATGAATTGCTTCTAGCCTTAATTGAGCAACCTGCAGAAAATAATAAATGCAATTCTTAAAATAATATTACTCAAGCTTTTTCATGGCTTTCCATTTAAGCAGTTCTGTGAGTGATTTTGGCAGATGGGATATTAGGTCACTTGGTATCTAATTCAACGGAATTTTTCAGAGCATGAAAACAAAATATCTGGGTAAGCACATTACATTTTTAGAGATCAGCCAGGTGGGGAGGAAAAAAATACATGCACGAGGGGATTAATTAAAAGACACAGATGTTGAAACCTTCTTTCAGAAAAGGCACTAATGGAGAATTTTTTTTCTAGAGCTTAAAAAAATTTAAAGTTAGAAAGCACCTTAAAAATAACTAATTTACACATCAATCTAGAAAATTTCACTGGTATTGGAGGTAGTAATAAGAAAACAAGCAAAGAGGAGCTAGAGGGAACCAGGGACAGGTGAGAGAAGGGGGATGCAAGGGACAGTTCTGTCATGGAAATGGGGCAAGTCCAGATGAGCTGTGGCACTGCAGATTCTTCTGGAGGAGGAAGCTAAGGGCTGGGGAGAGGAGAATGTTTGTTTCCAACCATGGAGAAGGAAGCGTGCTAAGGACACAGGCACCTGGCTGCCTCGGTGCTGTGCGTTCACTAAGCTGGGCCAGTTGGTTTGTGAGAATGACTCAATGTCTTTCTTCTCCAAAACATCCACACTTTCCTGTGTTTCCAGAGCCACCACAGACCCTGGGGAGGCCAGGCGGGGAATTTGCATTACTTCATCAAAATGGATCCTGGTTCTTAAGTAAATCTCTCTCTCGCTCTCTCTCTCTTTATATATATCCTTCCAATACCCTTTATTTGGTGCTCTCTTCTCTATCTGCACTTCCTTTTCCCCTAGCACGTGTGGCTGGCCTCCAAGTCATGGAACAAAATTCCTGGTACTAATCTCAGCCACTCCTGGGTGTTAGTCTCCCATTTTGTTGCTTTATGTTCCCCAGATGAATGCAGTCTTTCTGTGTCTATCCCACTCTTTCTGACTCATTTCGCTTAACACAATACTTCCCATGTAGTACCACTTGTATGTAAATTTCATGACTTCATCTTTTCTAACAGCTACATAGTACTCCATTGTGTAATGTACCAAAGCTTCTTTAACCAGTCATCTGTTCTCGGGCACTCAGGTGTTATCCAGATTCTGGCTATTGTAAAGAGTGCTGTAATGAATAAACAATTGCAGATGTCACTTCGACTATATATTTTTTGCCTCTCTGGGACATATTCCCAGGAGTAACTCTCAAAAGTTACTAGTGGAAGATCACAGACACTAAGACAATTTTAAAAAATGTCAAGTAGTTTTGATTGCAGTGGCAGCTTGAAGCTGTTTTGATTATTTACCAAAATCTCACAGATGCAGCAAATTTGCTTTTTTCTCAGTCTTCTTTTGTTCTTGATTGGAAAGTTCTCTCGGTTGCATTATTGCAGTTCTCTAAGGCTGGGCGCACTATTACTGTGAAATGATAGAGAATGTCTTCATTTCACTCCTCCTGACTCTTTCCTCTCATGCTCCCATCTTTCTTCCTCTTTCTTCAATCTGCTTTTCATTCATTCCATCTTTTTTCATTTAATATTCAAATTAAATCTTGAGCTTAACTCTTGCTTCCAGAAAACTGAAACTGAACACATTTAACCCTACTGATATTCTTGATAACACATTTTCCATTTTTAACCCTAATGATCTTCTTGATAACACATTTTCCATTTTTCTCTTCCATAGATATATTTCATTCAGAAGGGAGGGAGAGTCTAAGAATCATTTTCATCTTTTGAGAAGGAAACATATAAAGTTCAATGAATAATGAAAATATTATAGTAAACATCTGGGGGTTTCAAAAATCTTTTCTCTCTATTCCACCAAGGAAATGATATAGAGGGAAAATATTTCACTATTTCCCTTCCAAAAACACTGGGAAATCTTGATTAAGCCATATATGTGAGCCTGGACCTACATCCATATCTAAAGTTCTGATATGAACTGTGAGGGATTCTTAAGTCCCTGAAACTCTGTGTGAAATTATATTAAAAAAATATACTCTAAAACAGAATAAGTTTTCTAATTATTTTTTTCAATATCAGGGATTAAATCCCAGGGCCTCACACATTTCAGGCAGGTGATCTATCACTAAAAAATATTGCTGGCTTTTTTTCTAAGTTTTGTTGAAAATCTACTCAAAGAATGACTAATCTATAGTGTCCTTCATACAGTATCTTCATATTAAGGAGTAAAAGATAAATGGTTAAATCTTGAGGTACTGAGAACAGTCAGCATTTCAGATTTTCTTGAGGGACTCTAAAAGAAGACAGCTAAGCTTTCTTTGGGGTGGGATCTGGGTCATACCCAGAAGCAGGCAGGGGCTACTGTGGTTCTATGTTCAGGAGGGGCCCCTGGCAGTGCTTGTGACCATTATATGGTGCCAGGTTTCAAACAAGAGAGATGGGGTGTAAGGCAAGTAACCTTTATACTATCTCTCCAGGTCTTACACAACACCTTCTCATCTTCTTGATACCAATACTGGAACAGATGAATTACTTGGTGAATTCAGATTCTGTTATGTTTCAGAATATAAAATTATTTCAACTATGAATTCGGCTTGGGTGAAAAGCGGGGAGAGGAAGAAGTAGAGATTGTGTGGGCAGGAATCTGCTCGCTCTGTATATCCCTTCCATACCCAGTTCAGAGTCTGAGCAGTGATTTCAAATGATATCCGCAGAGTCCCTGAGAATCCCTTCTCAGTTCCTTTTTCTCTGACCTAGATCCAAGATCCCCACCCAAGACCTCCCATATATTCGCAGATCTGTAAGACTCACCACATGCTCGCTGATGTCACGGCAGAGGCCTGAGGCTTGCTGGCTCTGGTAGAACTCTAACTGCTGTTCTGCCAGCTCCACCCGCTGCAACAGATTCTCAATGAAATCCTGCAGGCGAGCTTTCCCTTGAACTTCCTTCTCAGCAGCTGCTTCCAGGAAATGGTTGAAAGTCACAACTTCTCTGCAAGGCAAAAGTGTCACAAAGTGGAGATAGGAGACAGGCGTTCACTCATGAAACCCCTTTATCGGGGCTTAGTGTGTTTGGGTTTTGCCCTAGACAGTCTGGTCACAGCAAGGAGAAGAGAGGAAAGTACATTATCATGATGACATTGAGATTGGATTTTAACAGGAGACAATCGCTACAAAATACACAGATAAATGTATAGTGTGATGAGTGCTAAGAAGAAAACAAACTGAGTGCAAGGAGGCAGAGAGAGAGGGAACAAATGTGATTTCAGAAAGCAAAGTTGACTATGACTTTCTGAATGGGGTCACATTTGAGCACACCCTTGATGGGAGACGAGCTCTGCAGAGAGCTGGCAAGAGCAAGCAAGGGCCTTGGAGGAGTGAGGCGGAAGTAGCCATGGGTTTGAAGGATTGCAGTGGGGTCTGTGAGGCCAAGGAGAAGACAGGAATGGAGAACTACATAGAGCAGTTCACCGGTCAGAGCCCACTGAGTCCATGTCAGATTTTATTATAAATGGGATGGTAGAAAATCATACACTTTCCGAATAAGTTCTGAATTCATTTTACAAGTCAGCAATTACGGGGGGATAAGTCTCCTGGTAAGGAAGCAAAAGGCCATAAGAACATCTAAGTTAATACAATGCGTTACCCTTTCCTACACACACACACACACACACACACACACAAATGCATGCACACACACACATGCACACGCACACACATGCATGCACGCACACACTCACACACACACTTCACACACATTGTTTGGAGACCATACCCAGTAATGCTCAAGAGCTACTATTGGCTCTATGCTTAGGGATCGTTCCTGGTGTTGCTTGGGGGCCATCCCCGCTTGGGATCAAACCCACGTCTTTGACATACCAAGCAGGCATGCAGTTCATTAAGCTGTAACTTTCTAACCCCCAACAGTATATTTTTAAACTAAAAATGGAGCAGCCTTTGAAATGCCCCTTGAGGTATATACTGAGGTATATCCTAGACAAACTATTCCAGCCGACATCGAAGCATTGTATAGTCTAAGGACAGAAACAAATACGTCAACAATTCTTGTTTTAATTCCATAATCCACTGTGATTCACAAACCTCGAAACTGTAATTTTACATCTTCTTTATTTTATTTCTAATATAAAACTTTTCTAATTCATAAGTTCTTCATAAAAATATTCAAATATATTATAAACAAATATAAAATATGACATGAAACTTGATTAAAATTTTGGTAGCCATCCTCATAAGCACCTCTACACACACACACACACACACACACACACACACACTCACACACAGTACTTAGCCTATTTTCAGGCCAAGTACCAGGTAATCAATACCACCAGTACTGAATACTATCACAATTTCACAATTTTCTTCATTCAATTTGCCTCACTTAAAATTCATGAACAACCTTTCAGCCATCTCCTTTGTATGTTCAACTATATACACTGGGGCCAATGAATTCCTAATTTTATTACCTGCTAGATGCAGAAGGGTTATTTTTTGTCTGTCTTCAAAACATCTTTCAAGTATCAAAAGACTATCCACTCATTTTCCCATATACACTAAACATAGGAAGACTGAAAATTATGAAGACTAGGATCATATTCACCCTTTACCGTAAATAGCTTTTCAAATTAATTGTATATCTATCTATACACACACGTGTATATATATATATATATATATTTATATTTATAGGTTGCACGGGCTGGAGCGATAGCAAAGCAGCAGGGCGTTTGCCTTGCACACAGCCAACATGGTTGACCCGAGTTTGATTCCTTGGCCCCTCTCGGAGAGCCCTGCAAGCTACCGAGAGTATCTAGCCCGCATGGCAGAGCCTGGCAAGCTACCCATGATGTATTCGATAAGCCAAACACAGTAACAACAAAGTCTCCAAAGGAGATGTTACTGGGCCTGCTCGAGCAAATCGATGAACAACGGGAGTACAGTGACAGTGACAGTGACAGGTTGCACAGCTGGCAATGCTGGGTGGAGGAGAATTCAGGGCTGGGAATTAAATCAGAGCCCTGCACATTCCAGGTATGTGCTCGACCACTTGAACAACCTCTTTGGCACTGCCTGTCTCATTTCAATTGTAGAGGGGGAGGACTCCCCAGTGATGCTCAAGGGTCAAGGGGTCACTCTTACAGAAACTGGGCCTGTTGGTACAAGCTTGGTGGTTCAATACTAGGACTCCACAATATGATGTTGTTCATACCCTGTGGGGTTGAAGCAACTAGGGCCACAACCACCAATTGCGGGTGGGTGGGTACTGGGGGTCCTGCATGACCAGAACCTAAACTCAGGGATTCCCACACGCAAGATATGTACCCATGTACCCCTTTGAGTATCTATACCACTGATTCCCTTTCTCATTTTAGAATAATGAATGGACCGAACTTTTAAAAGTCTAATATCAGTTGTTCTAGATCATTATTTAAATGTCCCTGCACCTTCCCTACTGATCCTTGTTTTCCCATAAGACTCCTGTTTTATATCTTTTCTTTTTTCTTTTTGAGTCACACCCGTCAATACACAGGGGTTACTCCTGGCTGTGCACTCAGGAATTACTCCTGGCAGTGCTCAGGGGACCATATGGGATGCTGGGAATCGAACCTGGGTTGGCCGCGTGCAAGGCCCTACCCACTCCAGCCCCGAAGACTCCTGCTTTCTTGAGTGCACAACTCAAGGGAAACATGGTTGAGGGAGTTGCAGGTTCCTCTATATTATGACTAGTCATTGAGAATGCTTTATAATTAGTTGAGATTTTTTTCCCTCAGAAATTTATTACGTGACATTTGGCCACACTGAAACTTTTCTGATTCTTTGTACTGAGTTAAAAGTCTCTACAAAACCTAGGGAAAGATATATTTATAAAAAGAGAAAAAAAGTATTAGTTCCAATAATAAGCCACTTAAAGAATTTCTCATTATACCAAGACCCCTCCCTTTTTTGCTAGTTTTTCATCTAAGATAATCATAAACCCCGAGCTCATAATAATTCCATTATCTCTTAGTAGCTAAGAAGTATTCACATAAGAGAAAAAAAGTTCCCTGGGAAAGAGTTCTTTTTTATCCTCCAGTTTCAAGTTTATTTCCAGATGTTTCCGGCTGTGCCCTGAATAGAAGATGTACACTGTTCAATCTCCCACACTACAGGCAGAGGCTTCTCAGTCCCTCTATTCCAGCAATGCCAGAGGTGGTCCTGGTGGTCCCCAAGCACCAATTAAACTGCAGTTACCACTAGGGCTGAGCTCATCTGAGATTGGTCCTTTGCCTCCAAACAGTGCTGAGTGTGGCCCTTATAATAAAAAGTTTAAAGGACATGGAAGAAAGAAAAAATGATCTATAATCCCACCTCCCACAGATTATATTGTCAACATACTATTATATTTTTTCCAGCCTCTCTTCTCTATGCATATTTACTATTCTTAGGCTCTCTGGGTGCATGCTTTTAGAATACAAAACAACAGTATTTGACAGCTTAATCCCATAGAATTAACATTACAAAAGCAGGAAAACATCTGAACTCAACAATTTATGACTGTGGCTGTATTTTTAAATCATGTCATGCCTTGCTACTGGTTCTAGATAAAACTTTTTTAAATTAATGGGAACGTTCCTAGCTGATCTTGAAGTGTTATGTCATGTGATAGAAGAGAAGCATCTTTCTCTCTAGGCTCTTTATCCAATTATCTGGTGCCCTGAAACTGAGAAGTTAATACCCTTGTATATCTAACCAACCTGGCAACAACGCTAACCTAATTTCAGTTTATGGATGCTTCATATCAACTTTTTTTTATAGCCAGTTAAAACAAGCTTGATGATTTAATTTTAAGAGATAAATTATGTAAGACACAGAGTTGGAAATATTAATCGTACTGAGACTGTGTTTCTGTATTAGATTTAAAAAAATTAAAAATTCCTAATGACGAACTTGGACTAGCATAGGTGTACAACTTCTGCTCCTCCTTTCCATCCTGTTCAGTCAGGAGTAACAATATCCAGAAACACATTTTCCCAAGGAATATTGGTGAATTATTGAATGGAAAGAGGCTTAACTGTTTTGCAACTGTAACCTCTTTCAAATTATATCCCAATCAGTAACTTATCCATGCAAAGTGTAAAACAGACCAATGATGTGGCTTCACATTCAGATTGTAATTAAACTTTAAGAAACACAACTGTCCATTCTTGGCATAATATCAAAGTAGAATGTTCACTATTCTCTGAAAAGGCTATAAAATCCTCCTGTTTTCCTATTACATGTGACTTTGTGAGAACGGATTTCCTTCATGCTGCTTCAACTAAAACAGTAAATTTGCAGCAGATTTAAGGCAGGCGAAATAACAAGGTTCAGCTGCTTTCAATTAAATTTAAGATTAAAATTGTCGAACTCATATAATAAATAATACCAACTTTCACTATATTCCTTTTGGAAAAATGGTTCTTTCTCACAGAAATATTTCACATTAAGAAGCAGTGGATAGATATACCAAGAGTAGCATAATCCATTTGATGGGGTGGAAGGTAGAAGACAATCAATCTTGATTAAAAAATACTAATACATATATGTTTTTATATATACTCTAACAACATGTTAATGATCTGTAATACAGGGGCTTAATGGTTCCAAGATGAGATACAACAATTTTTACACACTTTCCTCTAAGGAAACCTTTTTGGACAATTTTTAGTCAATTATTCATAACAAGCAATGCAAAATTAATTATTTAGCATCAGCCTTTGGGGAAGGCTTGGGTGGTGGTGGGAAATTTTGAAATAATGGTGATAGGAAGATGCAATAGTGGTGGGATTGGTATAGAGCTATTGAGTGGAACAATTACTGTGAACAACTCTTTGAAAATAGAATTTTGAAAAAGAAGCAATGTATTCTTTGTATTTACCTAATATATCACTGTAGCACTGTCCTCCGTTGTTCATCGATTTGCTGGAGCGGGCATCAGTAATGTCTCCATCG